TGCACCAAGCTGCATGCACCAAGTCCCAGCTCTCTGAGTAGGCCAGGGCAGCATGCTAACAGGTGCTCTCTGCCTGGGATCAGCTTCTGGGAACTTCAGAAACACACTGGAGAGAAGGGTGGTCTGTGATGAGCTGCCAGCCAGAGAGCCCATTAAAATATTTTCCAACACGTGCTGGTTACATTTAGCAAGCAATCCACAAAGACACATCTACTTTCTTTAGTAACAATCGGCGAGGACTCGTGTATATTTATATTCCTGGGTATGTAGTAGGCCTGACCTGAGTGGGGGGCGGTGCTGGGGATTAAACCTAGGGTTTGATGCACCGTGGGCAAGTGCTAGCTAGCACTGAGCAACACAGTTGGCTCTTGGTTTTCTGAGAAGAGTTCTGACTATGTACCGTGGGTTCCTGGAATGTTCTGGCTGTTTGGTTTTGAACTTGTAATCCTCCTGCCTCCTGGAAGATAAGGAGTGAGAAGGAAAGACCACAAGCTGTCTTAATGCTAGGGGTTCAGGCACGGGTCACTAAACGTGGACAGTGTAGTTCTGTCCCTTTGGAGATACGTTGACCCTTTGCCATTGTCAGCTTTGCTCTGCTGCAGGTACTTGTAGTTAAAGAAGCCTTGGCAAAAAAGGAGAGACCAATCCTGCAGGTTGCAGAACGAGCCAGAGCTTAACAGAAAACTGGCTTTGGGGCAGGGGCTGTAGCTCAGTGGGAGAGCAGGTCCTTGAAATGTGTAGGAGAGCAGTCCTAGCAACCCTCCTGTTGCTGTGATAAAACGTCAAGACCAAGAGGAGCTTGGGGAGGAAAGCGTGTGTTTCATCTTACAGCTTCTTGCCATTATCCTGTGAAGTCAGGATAGGAACTCACACAGGGCAGGAACCTGGAGGCAGGAGCTGATGCAGAGGCCATGGAGGGGTGCTGCTTACTGGCTTGCTCCTCTGAGTTGCCCTGCCTGCTTTCTTATACCATTCAGAATCACGCACGCACCTAGGGTTGACCCCGCTTGCTTTTATTATTCACCCAGGACTGGCACCACTTACAGGGAGCTGGGCTCTCTCACATCCATTATCGATCAAGAATATACCACCAGCTTCCCCACAAGTTCATTCTGGTGGGGAGATTTTCTCAGTTGAGATTCCCTCTTCCCAAATGCTCCTAGCTTGTGTCACGTCAAAACTATCCAACATTGCCCTTCCCAATCTGAAACCCCATTTCCACATCTGCTGCCCACCCCCCAAAAAAAGATGGTATAAAAAGTCCATTTTCCCCCCCTTTTCAGACAGTTTTGCTATGGCCTAGAACTCAGTGCATAGCTCGGTGTAACCCAGAACTCGCAGCAGTCTTCCTGTCTTGGCCTCTTAGGTGTTGGTCGGGATTATAGGTGTAGTAGCATCAATCCCAACTTGAAACCTGGATCTTTGAAATCCTGATTTCTATCTCTAGTATTTTCCTAAGTAGCTTTGTGAGCTATGAAAAATTAAGCTGGATTGGGGGTGGGGGTGGGGAAATCTATCCTATGAATTTTGTTTTGAGACAGGTACTCATCACGTAACTCTGGAGGGCCTCGACCTTAATACTGTAGACCAGGCTGGCCTCAACCGCACAGAGATCCACTTGCTTTGACCTCCCAAATGCTGGGATTAAAGGTGCACACTACCATACCTGACCCTGACGTGAGATTTAAAAGTTAAAAAAACTATAGGTGCTTTTTAAAATTTCTCTATGTTCTAGGGACCTTCTCTAACCTTCAGTTAGAGTTGCAGGCCAAGAGGATGGACACACAGATGCTCACAGAGACAGTATGCACAGCACACATGCACACACACACACACACACACACACACATACACACAACACACACAGAGAGACAGAGAGTGCTAAAGTAAGCAGTTTGGGTCTCACAGGGAGGTGGGGGGAGGGTCATAACATTTTTTGTTAAATAGTCTCATGTAGCCCAGGCTGGCTTCAATCTCAGTCCCTAGCCTGGCCTTGGACCCCTGATCCCTGTCCTCCCTCCAGCACTGGGATTCTAGGGATTCGTCCCCGTGCCCAGCCCTATAGTGCTTCCCTTAGAACTCTCCTAAGCTATGGTACTGTAGGAGTTGGCGCTCATAGTTCATATCCTCCCATCTGTGTGCACATGTGCGTGTCCGCTGTGGGGGTGTGCGCACACACGTGTGGCAGCCTGGAGCTGACACTGGGAGCCTTCCTCAATTACTTGGTTGAGGCAGGATCTCCCAGTTGAGCAGAGTTCACTGGTCCTGCTAGTCTAGTTAGCAAGCTGTCCCGGGATTTCTCTCCACTAGGATCACGGCTTCCCACACCCATCTGGCTCTTAGGGATCCAGTCTCATTCCACACACTGTGCTTGTCCAAGGGGCCATCTCCAGACCGCTCGTTGGTGGTTGTTGCAGAGGGTCTTGCTATGTAGCCAACACTGGCCTTGACCGAGTCACCCTGAGTGTTAGGATGGTAGCAGTGAGCAACCTGGTCCCACTTTTTCTTTTCTTTTCTTTTTCTGTTTTTTTGTTTGTTTGTTTTTGAGACAGGGTTTCTCTGTGTAGCCCTGGCTGTCCTGGAACTCACTCTGTAGACCAGGCTGGCCTCGAACTCAGAAATCCACCTGCCTCTGCCTCCCAAGTGCTGGGATTAAAGGCGTGCACCACCACTGCCCGGCCCTGGTCCCACCTCTTAATCTTGTCTAATTACAGTGATTCCTAAGCCACCAGGAGACCTCGGTACACGGGTTTCCAACTTGGGTCCTGTGGATTCTATGGCTTAGGGACCAGACTTCATCGCATACATATGACAGGCCTGGAAGAAAGGAAGGGAAACAAAGACCCTTGTAGAGAATCTAGCTCCAAGGGACAGGTACCATCGAAGTTGGGTCTTCTCTGGTAGAGTCTATGTTGACCGCGGGGGCATGCCAGTGAGATAAAACTTAATTTCCTGTCTCCTGAAAGATGATTTGCTTTCTGTTATCCCCTCAAGAGTCTGACCCAAGCATTTCTGCTGATATTTCATATGTTCTAACTTCTAGAAATTGTCCTCTGACCTGAACATGCACGCACACTTGGCACACATGTGCATGTGTATACACACACACACACACACACACAATACACGCCCCTACCCCTAGATGATTAGTACATATAAAAGCATGGTGTTCATCTTCATGAGTCACCTACACACACCCTTCACCTTAAATGCAGGGTTACAAAGCAGCTTTTCTGACCACACCACAGCAGTTGTGGACGGCTGCTCCGGCTTCTGGACTCCGTTGGGTAGGGCAGGGAAGGCATCCAACCAGGCGACCACCTGCTTAATTAGCCAGCTGAGAGGTGTTGGGTAAGAGTCGACTCTGGCCCCACAATTGCAAAGCTCTGGATAGTTTATGAGAGTCATGTCTCAGGACTGTTGGCAGATGAGCAACTTCAGTGGATGAGACAGTCTCCCTCTGGGACTTAGAGCAGGCTTGCTACAAAACAGGCTGTTCCTACCTAGTAGGCTTCACTTGTAACAAACCCACCATGTGTATTCCCTCAGTGTGAGAATTTACCTGACACCCACAGAGGTTGAGGGAGGGACAGCAGGATGGGGCAAGACTGACAGGTTTGAGCTACTTGCTAGCCAAACCCCAGATCCACAAGCGACCTCAACATTGTGATAAACACACATTCTAAGAAGATTTTTATTTCTAATTAAGTGTGTATTTGTGTGGTTTTGTTTGTGGGCACTGTACCCATGGAGATCAGAAGAGGGTGTTTGGATCTCCTGAGGCAGGAGTTACAGGTGGTTGTGAGCCACCTGATATGGGTGCTGGGAACCAAACCTGGGTCCTCCCTGCAAGACCAGTATGGGCTCTTAACCTCTGAACCATGTCTCCAGCCCCTAAATCATCTTTTCCAGATGGTAATCTGTTCATTTTTCAATGCCTAACATCTCCTTGGTCTATGAAGCAACCCACAATATCTGTGACTGGCAATTTGTTTTTCTATGCTGGAACAGAGCCACACAGTTGTCTACCAGGATTCAGTCTCTCTCTGTAGCTGAAGAAGCCTCAGCACACTGAGTTTCCGTGAAGGAGATGGAACCCAGGGCTTCTGTGCATATAACAAGCACTAAGGAGCTATAGCCCCAGCTCCTGGTCTACAGAGTGAGTTCCAGGTTTTTATGTTCTACCTGCAATGTAGTTGTGACAGAGACTATGTAACCTGTATGCCTAGGATTAGATATTTATTCCTTTAAGAAAGTTTGATGACTCCCGCAAGATGTCATTTTTCTTCTAGGGAAAGGAGTGGATCCCTGGGTTGTCACAGTATACACCGTCAAAGCTGAGTGAGTCTGTCTTTTTTGTTTGTTTTTCGAGACAGGGTTTCTCTGTGTAGCCCTGGCTGTCCTGGAACTCACTCTGTAGACCAGGCTGGCCTCAAACTCAGAAATCCGCCTGTCTCTGCCTCCTAAGTGCTGGGATTAAAGGCGTGCGCCACCACCGCCTGGTGAGTTAGTCTGTCTTAAAAGCTGCTCAAAGAAGCTTTACCGTCATGCTTTTTTTCTTTTAAAAAATAGTTTATGAATATTTGTGTGAGTGTGCAGGAGGCTGTGAGGGTCAAGTCAGGAGAGGCATTTGATCCTCTGGAGTTACAGAAGGTGGCTAGCTACCATGTTGGGGCTGCAAACTGAACTAGGGGTCCTTTGCAAGAACAGGTGTCCTTAGCTACTGAGCCATCTTCCCAGGCCTCAGATGACTAGCAGGGACTGGTATCTAAGAGCTTTCCAGCGGGAGGGCATACATGAGGAGGAAATGGTCCATTGTCACTAGGTTAGTGGCCAACCTAGCAGCTGGAAGGTGTATCTGTGGGGTACAGTGCTGACCTAATTCTTTAATGTCAGCCCGGAGTTTGGTCCCTAGCGCCACAAAACTACAGAACTCCACGAAGCAGCCACCGGCTTGTACCTTGTGAGAATTGCCACTGTGGACTAAAACAAAGAACACATTCCCACTAGAACAGAAGTCAGTTTTAATTCATTGAGAAGTGCAGCAGTGAACAGAGTCGGTTGAAGGGCACTTTCTAAGTGAGCGGCTGCGATGACAGCTCAAGGCAGAGGGGCTTCTACAACAGGTGACGCTAAGAAAAGGATTTACAAAGTCCGTTGAACGTAAAGTGCTGGTGAGCTAAAGAACCCCAGGACACCCAACTGTCCCAGCGGTGATCAGCTGATACCCCTTTGCTTTTTCTTGAGGATTCTGGGCTGCCATCTTTCATTAGAAAAAATAAGATGCTCATGAGTTTGAGAATACTTCCCACAGATGAAGGAGTAACTCTCACAGCCACTCTATTTTTATACAAAAACCCTGGAACTGGCGATTCAAAAGGTGTTTGCAACAGTACCACTTGTGGAACTCAAAGACATAGGTGTACCCTACTTTGAAACTGTGTCTGAGGGGCAGTTTTAAAACTGGAAATCTTATAAGGCGAAGTCCCTGCGTCCTATGTTGGTTTTAATGGTCCTTCCGTTTGAAGAGCAGCGGCACACACAAACCTGGCCTTCAAAGATGTCAAAACTCTGAGTACAGAGAACAAGGCTGGCCTCCTGGGGCGCGTCCCTTGTGGGTGGGAGGCCATGCATGCTGCAGTCGGTTACAAGCTGAGGTCTGCATGAACGTCTGCAGGAACAGCCCTCAACTGAGAGGTACAGAGAGGATCTCAGGTCCCACCACCCGACTGTGTCACCTGCATGGGGGCATCGAGGTAGCAACACCTACTGCAGCTGACTGTTATCGCTCTGATGTCACCGGCTTTCAGGAGCCAGCCATAAAACTGAAGACTATGACATCACAGTCTTTATTTGGGAACTGTGGTCAGCTAGCTCTCACTATTTCACTGGTGATGTTTAGAAGCAAAGTGGAGTGAGTGAAGCCAGTATGCACATTCAATTTTGTAACTTTCCTGTAAAGTGGCCACGGCGGAGGTGACCATTCCACTGACTGCTGGCCTCTCAGTATCGCCAAAGTCGCTGGGGTCACATGAGGCAAAGGAATAAACTCAACGGCTGTTACCCCAACATGGCTTCTGGAATTCTGAAAGTAACTTCTTGCTCTGTCTCACAAGGGCTTAAAGCTGGACAGAGGCTGTGTAAAGCTAAACCCACTCAGTGTCTACAACAGATTGGATCCACGGTTCTCCACTCTGTGCTGTCCTGCTAGCACTCGGCCCTCTGTGGACATGTCAGGGCGGAACTGGACTTTAAGGGACAGAATGTCGTTCTGGGGCTCAAGGAGCCCTGGTTATTCAGGACCGGAGACTGGAGCTTCTCTGAGAGCAGGGGAGTGAGGGGGAAGCAGCTGGTCCTTCCCTCTACCAGGAGACCCTAAGATTTTCAATGACAATGTCAGTTAATTGCAGCCAGGCAGGATGATGCGTGTGGCACTGACACTTGAGAACCCTCCAGACAGGCACTTCAGTGCGGCCCTTCAGCCCACTGACTGACCCAAGAGCCCAATCCGCTTGCTCATGTGGTCTATCTAGCCCTCCCCCTGGTGGCTCCTTCTCCATGGTGCTTCTGGGCTCTCTCAGTGGCTGGAGCCACTGAAAAGCTGAGGGCTTCTTAGGGCAGGGCCTGGGTGACAAGTCGCACGTTTACTACCCCACAATGGATGTCATGAACATCCTTTCTCTCCATGTCCACAGACAACAGCTCGTGTCAAGGCTGTGTATGTTTCTGATGGTGAGGGGCTCAGTGTGACATGAGATACAGCGTTTTTGATTTGGGGGCTAGCTATGTACCAAAAGGCTTTATCTTTCTGCCCTAAAGTATTGCCATTTATCAGAAGAGTTTTACAGATTCAGACTTGACCATGTGGGGACGCATACATTGTGCCCAGCCAAGATGAAGGGACAAGGAGAGGACAAAGACCTCAGGAGTGGTGGTTGTCATCAGAGGAGAGACAGGGTCAGCCGCTTCTGACGGGGGCAGATTCACAGTACTGGAAGTCAGCTGACTGGGTTATTTTTCAAACAAGACTTGAAACAGCAAGGCCGGAGGTCCCCGAGGCATGGCTCCCACGTCATCAGAAACGGATGGGCAAGGATCCAACTGCAGACTGGCCATGGCTGCTACAGAGGATGCTTCGAGAACCTTCTCATTCTGACACTGCCGTGATTGCTGAACATGAGACGCAGGTCAAACCTGTATCTGAAGGAAAAGGGAGGATGTCACGTGAACTCTAGCTAGCCACAGAGACTTCAAAGGCATATCCTTCAGCAGAGAGCTGGCAGGAGGGACTGACACACCAAGCAGGGAGCCTGGTGGAAGAGGCTGTCATATAAATGTGGTTTCAGTAGCTGAGAGCATTTTTCACACAAGCTGTGAGCTGAGGAGAACAAGAAGCTTAACTGTAAGAAGCAGGAGGGGGATTCCTTAAGACAACAACAGCAGCAGAACATTACTACTCAGCCTTGGCTGGCCTGGAAATTGCTATGCAGACCAGGCTATCCTCAGACTCCTGAGTGCTGGGATTAAAGGCAGGTAGGTGAGGGAGGAGAGGAGAAGGAGGAGAGGAGAGTGAGGCTGAGGTATAAAGCATCCAGATGGAAGAGCTGACCCTCACCTAACCTCCACTGCCATTCTGTGATCTCTCCCTCTTTTATAGCCGCTGGCACTTTGGAGCACACACAAACACGGGTCTCAGACGTGTGCTTGAGCCAGGCTCATGAATTTAGACAACTCAAATTGTCTCTGGCCATCAAACAGAAAGGCATTCGTGTAAAATGTATGGATCCCTCAGAGCGCTCAGTAAGAACAGAGTTGTGAGTTTGTGACTATAGAGAATACAGACTGGCCAGAAATGGGCTTTCCATGCTGAGCAGAAACGCCGCCCTGAACTGACACTCGCTTCTGCCTGTGGGCCCATCTCTGCAGCAACACTCCTGTAAAGAGCCAGATGCTGCGATCGGGATCCAGTCAGACACTGTGTAATTAAGACATGTGTGTGGCTGGATTAACAGCTTGTGCCTACAGGATCCAGTCCGATGACCCCACTGCAGAGGATCCTGGAAGGCCAAATGTTTGGCAGAAGAGAATAACCTGGGATGATCAATTAAAAACAAACTCAGTTGCTGTTTACATATTCAGGCTAATGAGAGCACACATAACCAGTGTCTCGTCACCGAAGCATCGGGGTTGATAATGAACGAGATGCTGGAGAAACATGACCACGTGCATGTGCAGTCTGTGACCCCGGCAAACCGTATGTCCAGTTAATGATGTAGACATGCATGCCCTTTTGGCTCTGGAAAGTCGACAACCGATCTAGATGCCTAGGACAAACAGGACAGCAGCTGAAGCCACCCTGCTGTGGCTGGCCATACGATGTGGCAGGTCAGCGCTCTCGCAGCTAAGCCAGTAGGGATTGCTGGCCACACGTCATAATCCCAGGGATTTCTCCACTCTCCTTTCAATGGTTTAGTTATAGCTTTCAATTCCCAGAGGCAGCCTAGAATACACGGCTAAAAGCACTCCGTCCACTCTGTGTGATAAACACTGAGCTGATGTCTGTGCGGACGTCAGGGAAGGTGAAGGCTGGCCAAGGAACGTGACGGACCAGGCTTACGACATCACTCCTCTCAATCACTCTTTGATTTAAGCTAGACAGACTGATACACAGTCTTCTGTACAGTGGCCTTGCTATTTAAACATTTTCATTTTAGCAAGGCAAGGTGGCTAACACCTAATCACAGCAGCCCTCCGGAGGAAGCCGGCAGCCTGCTCTACACACCAAATTCCAGGACAGAGAGACCTGTCTCAGAACAATTCCCAGCTGGGGCCTGAACTGAGGGATCCCGTGGGCATGGAGGGGAGTGTTATATGACCCTGACAGTGTGGACTCTGTGTTCCTGGCTGTGTGGGGACTGTGTGACAGTCCACAGCCGGAACTCCTGGGAGTGGCAGGCAGTGTTCTGCAGACACTGCACTGTAAGCAGACCCAGAGTGAGGCAGGCTGGGTAACACAGGTGAGCTATGACAGTTACATGAAATAGAGCAGTATGCTATCAAACCAGGGCTGGGATGGGCCAGAGCTGTCCAGTGCCACCAAGCAGAACCCTGGGACAGGAAAGCAGGGCTGAGCTTGAAGCCCCAGCAGCCACTGAAGGTACAGAGCCAAGTTCCTAACAGTTTATTTTCCCGACAATACAAGCTGACACAGAAGGAAGACAGCATTCTCTCAATAAGCAGAAGAATAAACACAGCTCAAAGTGGAAAGGAGCCCCCAGCTTTCCTTTGTCTTCCAGAAGAGCCTGGCCTCTCAAGACACTGGCAGAGTCACCGAAGAAAGACACTTACCCAGGATCAAAGACCCCTGGAGTGCGACAGGTCGGCCCGGAACAGGACTGGAGCATCATCAGCCGGTAGTTCATCTTCCCCAGAAGCTCAGGGTCTATACTCTTAGCAATGTTGGTGATCTGGTCTGGATCTGCAGTTATATTGTAGACTTCGACAAATACCTAGAGGCAAGAGTAAGGCGGAAAGAAGAGAGCAAAGGTTATAACTGAGAAAAATACTCCTGTGGCAATTATTTCTAAATGGAAAGGGAAGAAGTAGATGAAAATCCAAGGCCTGTCCATCATGTGGTTGAAGACTCCAAGATCCACACAGGATCGCATGCTGTCTGTCAGGGTACGCTTATGTTAGACACACAGTCCCATGCTGAACTGCGGCTACGTGTCTATCCTACATCCTCAGGAAAGTAACTCGTGACCATTTAGAGCAGCAGTTCACAACTGGTGTTTCACAGGGTCACCTGAGATACCGGAAAAGACACATTCACATTACAGTTCCTAACGGTAGCAGGATTACTGTCATGAAGTGGCAATGAAATACTTCTATGGCTGAGGGTCACCACACGATGAGGCACTGTAAAGACTCACAGCATTAGGGAGGAGGAGGTCCACTGTCCTGGAGGGTGAGCACAAGGCAAGCCTTTGATGGCCTGGCCTCAGCAACAAGACAGCGCTGCTGCAGCTACTCTGTGAGGGGAGCCCTGGAGGCCATGTGTTTTCCTCAGAGTCCCTGGACTCAAGCAACAGGACTGAGCAAGCAGCATCCTGACTACTGGTACACGAGTCATCCCTTGTTTTAAGAAGTAGTCTGGGATGGTTTGCACGGCGGCAGGCTGTAGTACTGTCATTTATACAGTGACTGCTGGGCATCAGCACGTTCCTCTCTGCAGCACAGTGTTCTCCTAACAGAAGGCAGGACAAGGAGGTAACCGGTGGCTCTGAGGACTTTAGACCTCTGCCCTGAGACTACCTCTCACATTAGCACACAGATCTGCATGGGGCAGGGCGGCTCAGCTGCAGTGAGCTGTAAGGAAAGACGGTCCATTCTGAAGAACAAAGAGAGCACTGCTTCATACTGTAAGATGGTGGCAGACAGGACAGGTGAGCCCGTGCTGAGCATCTGCGTGAGGCTGCACCCTGGTGTCCACAGACACCTATCAGATGACCCACACTCCTGAGGCTCAAACCCCATCTTCCCCCAAGGCCAGCCGGCTGGCCTGTTGGGCAATGCTAGCTCCTCTCTCTAGATGCTGAAGCACCTCACTCTTAGCCCTATCTCCAGGCCAAGTGTCATTCTGAAAAAGCCAGCTGTGTGGGGGTGGTGCACAGAGAAGACTCCACTGAGAAAATTCAGAACGAAGTTGCCCGTATAAGCCTGCCCTGCCACCTTGTGAGCCACAGGAGACCTTGGGGAGTGTGGAGAAGAAACATACCTTCCCTGGTAGAGCTCTGGGGTCACCTTATACCACCAAGCCCAGGCAATCGGCACGGTGTGGGGGAGGGGTGTCCTTACCTCCTGGTCGTCGAACTCGCAGTACTGGAGGTTCCACACTGATGACAGCGTCCGCACGCAGGCGTATGTATTGTTGTACGCGTCCTCACACACACAGTCAGGGAAACATTGCTGGAGGGACAGTTTATAAGTTAGTGAGAACTGCTGACACAGCATCTCAGAGGGCAACCCAGGTACAGGTGGGCTAGAGCCAGACACTCTAAAGGACTTCTGAACTGTCTGTCCTGGAGTGAAAAGAAAAGCGGAGCCCTCGTTCTCAGCACTACAGGAGACCAGACTCCACACTTCCCATGGGCTCTGCCAGCCCACTGTGTCCTTAAACAAAACAGCCTGATTATGGAATTCCCTGCCGGCCTGGAACTCAGAGGTCACCTGCCCAAGCTTTCCAAGAGATTAGATGTGTGCGCCACACTGGGCTGGGTCCCTTACTCAGAACACATTGCTGTCAGGAGAGCCAAAGCTCCATTCCCCAAAGCCAGGTCAACATGGCTGTTACCACCTCTGTGGCCTGCCTGGCTGCCACCAGTGAAGGCGCAGTCACAGGGACAAACCCCATCTCTCCTGCTGTTAGGAGGTGGAGAGTGGGTAAGGGAAGTGAGAGCAGGTATGGGCAGTCTACCTGGTGCCGCAGTGTCACTCAGGTGGCAGAGGTGTCTAAATAGCACTTGTGCGGTGAGAAAGCTGTGACCAAAACAAGCTACTCACAGACACTCCAGGACTCAAAGAAGGGCAGGTCGGGTCGGTGACGTTACGGCCTTCTCCTTGATATTCCACCAGGACGTCTGACCTCCAGGTTAAGTTTCTGTCTCCTTTCTAGAAAGAAGAGCAAGCGAGGATCCCGTGAGGCACGGACTGATAAGTGACCTTAGTTGTCACCGAGCTGCCTGAGGGCCTTTAGACAGCTCGCTCTGTAACAGAGGGAATGGGAAGACTGGATGTGTAGAAAAGCCGCTACTGTTGTTCCTGGTGCTTAAAGTCTTTAGAGGGACAGTCAAGAGCCTGGAACGCTTTCCCGTTCCTTTAAGGGCAGTGTGTGAAGTGGGAGGGGACGAAAGCTAGAAAACCAGAATCCACGCTGGTGCAGGTGGCTCCAGCTCAAGGTGAGGGTGCACACAACGCCTAGCTCGGCAGAGGCTCTGTGCGCCCTGGGCAGCAGGAGAGAGAGACAGGTGGTGCTGGGGGTGGGGTGCAGGCCTTCAGATGAGCATACAGCCCATATGTCACGTTTATTCTGTGAATACATTAGCTGTGTGGAAACACAAACATTGGAGACAGGCGTACACGCTCTGGCAAAAGGCAGGCCTCTAGGACAGGAGCGGGCCTGGGAGTAAAGCACATGAGTTCAGACAGTAGAGAACATGTGTCTGGGTGGGTTGTGAACCACAGCATCTAAGAGGAGGAAGCAGGAACAGACGGGCCTAAACCTTAGGGGGACATGTCTGCAGCAGCAACTGCTTGGGAGGCTGAGGCACAAGGACTGACTGAGCCCAACTGAGAGCCAGACCCAACTCTGAGGAGTAACAGAGGCAGGAGATGTGCAGAGAGGATAGTTGTGAGTGAGGAAGAGCAAGGTCACTTCAGACATCAGCCAAGGACAGAGAAAGGCTGAAGGCAGGCCAGATGGGAATGGACCCTTTCTTCAGCCTAACTTCTTTCTCAACAGCTGGGTGGCAGTTTGAGATCTGTGCTTGTAAAGGACACTGAAGCTGGGACACATAGGGGACTGGGTGCTACCTTTTACAAGGCCTTGAATGTCAAGAAAGGGGAAGACCTTACATGTGCATTTATGTCCTGTGTGTACATGCCCTGTGACATCTTATGTCCTGTGCGGACATGCCCTGTGAGATCTACTCAGCTCAGTAGCTCTGGGATAAATGAAGGAGTGGGACACCAATCTAACTTCACCTTGAAGCCAGGGCTGGGTTAGATCTGGTCCTGAGGCTACAGTCTGTGAGCTGCTGGTCTGGCCCACAGGACAAGGCTAATGCAATCCAGGAACTGATGACTCTTCACTGCTTTTCAGGTCACTTAAGAGTCACATGTGACCATACAACTGACTATTATGCAAGTACATCATAACAGCAACCCTAACAGCACGATGAGGAAATGAAGCGTTAGGTTGCACTTTCAGAAGTGTGCAAAGATTCCTTGTATACATCTCAGTGGCTTTTACCCTAGAACTGACTCAGCGAGGTTAGAAGACACCCATTTCCCTGTCGGATCTATAGAGCGCTGATCCATTTCCAGCCCCAAACCTAGCATCTTACGCGGAACCCAGAGCCGAGTCTAAGGGCCACACGGATGGAAGGTACTTAGGGTCCCTGACAGAGTAAGGAGGGTGGCAGACCCTCATACAAAGCCTCAGTTATTCAGCCTGAAGGCAAAACAGCACAAGGAAAGGCCTGTGGGTCAGAAGAGAAAGCTGAGTATCTACAGAGACAATCAGAGTCTGCAGGGAAGTTATCACAGATACACAGAGGACCAGGACACAAGCAACAGAACTGTAAGAGCTGTAGAAGAGATCTCCAACATTAGATGTAGCGTTGTATAAATAAGAAATGGAGTCTGTGGGAAAGCACTTACATACAGGCCTGACAGTCCACGGTCAGCTTCCCAGAGCCTGTATAGTAGCATAGGCATCTACAATCCCAGCATCCCCTACAGGATGACGGGAACTAGAGACAGGTGACCCTCCAAAAGCTCATGGGCTGGGTTCCACAGGGGCACTGAGGCTATCCCAAACAGGGAGGAAGGTGGTGACCAGCACCTGAGGATTGTCCTCTGACATCAGCATACACGTTCACACCTGTGTACATTTAAGTACACTTGTGTATACAAAAAGAACGCTGACCATGGCCAAGACTCTGAATAGATGTACGACAGTAGGCACACAGCCAGGAGCCCACTGTGACCACAGAAATGCAAAAGAGGACCGCCAGGAAACTAATCAGGTGCAGTTGAGGCTGATGGAAATACACAACACGTCTGAAAAGTTAGTTAAAGCTACCAAGCGACCCAGAACACTGGGCACACAGAGAACTGCAAACGTGTCCAGAGATTCATACATGTTAACAAAAGGGCTAATCAAAATAACCGCAAAGTAGCAAGGACGTACACATGTATGTGATAGACAGACAGACGACCATGTGGTGCTTCCAGAGAGCAGAGGCACGGGCTGCATGACTCCATTTGTTTGTCCAGGGTAGACAACTCCACAGAGGTAAAAGGGGGTTATATAGACTGCTTGAGGAGAGGTCAGTGGAGGGGTGACTAATGATCTGGAATTATGGGATGTTCTGGAATTAGACTGTGATGGCCAGACAACTCCAAAACACCAGAAATCACTGAACTGTCCACTCTAGTGCATGTGTGGTACATGAACCAGCTGATAATAAAAGGTGGCTCCCCTTACTAACGAGTAAACGCAAACTGAGACCAAATACTGTTCTTCACTCACTCAGCTGGCATGTCACTAAGCTGACTGTTTATACAGAACAAAGGGAATTCTCATCTTGATGAGCGTGCAGGTCACTGGGGACATGTCTGTGAAGGCAGCAGAGCTAACATGACAGAGCTAGGCCACCAAAGACACTACCTGGGAGGAGACGGGCAACCAGGTCACAATGCATTTAGGTAATGGGGTGTCAGGGAGCCGAGAACAATATGGACCCATCTTGGAAACAATGCCAAATCTTAAAACATGCCTGGGGAGATCTAGTACAGTATCATGAGTGCGTGCGTGTGCGTGCGTGCGTGTGCGTGTGCGTGTGTGTGTGTGAAGGCTCAAAGCACCACCCCCTTTGGCCCTGCACACTGAGCCCAAGGCCTATGCATGCTACACAAGTGCTCTGCCAGCAGCTGCATCCGTAACTGACACTCAGGTGAGCAAAGGAGCCTGACAAGTTATTTGCCTGTACCTCCATGATCAGTGTACAAGCAGTCTCCGTCCCTCAGACACTGGCAACAGTGGCTATTACGCTCAGTCTTCGACACTCTGCAGGCAGCTCAGGTGTCCTTTACTTCAGCATCTCCTTGACTGACACTAAGGTAACCCTTCCACAGTGACCCAGCCATCCCCGAGTCTTCCAGAAGGTTACTCACGCTCTCTCCCTGGCTTACTCTATTGGGACGGCAACCTCTACTTTCAGACCACACTTTTTTTCCTGGGAGGAGAGAGGAAGACAACGCAGAGGCTGAAAGTGACCCACAGTCCAGTCAGACTTTTTCTTCAGGGAACGGCTTCCCACCACAAGGCCAGAGACAGATCCTGTTCTTTGCCTCTCAGATTTAGTAGCCTGTTTCCCACCTGGAATTAACTTCAGAGCTCGGCTCTGGGTTGGCTGTGGCTTTACACTCACCAGAATGGGCAGTAGGGACATGCCATCCATCTGTGTCTTGTTCAGGTCATAGCCAGCGAGGTCCAGGATGGTGGGACCCAAGTCGATATTGGAGACCAGCATCTGTGTGAGGGAAGCAAACCGTCTGAGGCCCGGCTGGACTCATGTTCCTCCCCCACCCAATAAACACTAAGCAACACACCTGAAACCAGGCGCCATCACCTCTGGATAACCTGCTCTCCCACCCAGGGCCAGACACTCAACTACAAGTCAGACACGGGCTCATCGGGGTGCAGTGATGCCGTGGAAATCCTGTCCTTCCCGTGGCCACACGGTTCCTGTCAGACCGCGTGATGAGAAGCCTCTGTAATCTTCTCATCGTGAACACAGGGACACTGCCGACTCCTCTTGCCTGTCAACTGTTCTACTTGACAGTCACATTTGCTCATTAAATCTGGCCTCACATGCGTTCTTTAACTTTTAAAAAAAGATTTATGTATTTTTTTCTATTATATTAAAGGCAGGTTTATCGGGAAGCTGCTCTTGGGTGGAGTGAGTTCGCTGGCCCCCAAGGATGGATAGGCGAGTTGTCATGGGGAAAGGGATGGAGTGAGAGAGGGAGGGAGAGAGAAAGAGAAAGGGCGTGTGTGTAGAGAGGAGAAGAGAGACAATTTATGCTTTTTAAGAGTAAAAATGGCTGCACGTATGTAAATGCATCACAGGTACGCAGCCCCACAGAGCCCCCCTCCACCCCTCCCTTCCTTGACAGAGTCTCTCTCTCTATGTAGCTCTGGCTGTTCTAGACCTATGTAGATCAGGCTATCCCCCACTCACAAACAAACCAAGGGAGATGAGCTCATGTGACTGTCTTCAAAGTAACAATACTACTACTCTGTCCCCAATTTATTTTAAACAGGGTATACCATGTAGCCCAGGCTAGTCTCTCAAACTCGTGATCCTCCTGCTTCAGCCTTTTCAATGCGGGATCCAATGTGTTCCACCTGCCTAGTCTTGTAACAGGCTGTGAAGGCTGCAGAAAACTTGCTCTAATTGGTCAGCAAATATCCTTAAATAGCACAAAACACCGCTTTAATGAAAACACTCTAGGGCCTGTGTGATGGCCCAGTGGTTAAATGTCACTAAGCTTGATGACCTAAATTCCATTCTGGGTCCCACATGGTGGAAGGAGAGACTCAACCCCCTCCCCACAAGCTGTCCCCTGACATGTGCACCATGACACATGCATGCACACACATACACACAATACAAAAAACCCTATATATCTGTATTATAACAAACACTCTAGAAACCAGAAACACAAGTCTTACATTTTCACCTCAATTTATTCTCTTGGTTTAGAAGGTGGTTTTCCTTCTGTGTACAATACTTCTAAGGACCTAAATCAGCATGTTTCCATTTAAATATAGTGGGGGCTATGTCAGCTTTAATGTAAAAAAAAGAAAAAAAACCTTTAAATTTTGTGTGTGTGTGCGTATATGTGTGCACAAGCGTGTGTCTGCGTGTACGTGCGCATGCAAGCCAGAGGACCTCAGGTGTCATTCTGAGACAGAGCCTCTCATGGCCTGGCTTACTGAGAGCTAAGGGTGGCTGGCCAGCCTCAGAGAGCCCCCGGCTCCTGCCTCCCTTGTGCTGGAGCCACAGGCTTTTCTCAAGTGGATTCTGAGGAGCACACTCAGGTCTACATGCTTATGTGGCACCTTAGCCTACAGGGTGAGCTCCAGGCCACAGAGCGCTTGTCTCAAAAGCCAAGTTGAGAAGCCAGGTGTGACAGCACAGGCCTTTTATCCCAGCACTTGGGAGGCAAAGGCAGGAGGCGCTCTGGGAGACAGACACCAGCCTGGTTTATACGGTGAGTTCCAGGACAGTCAGGGCGGGACAGCCAGGGAGACCCAGTGAGACCTTGTCTCAAAAAAACCCCTAAATCTAAAAAACAAAAACAGTCTCCCCTAAAAAAAAGAACACAGTGAACAGCTCCCAAGGCTCCCTGAGACTGTCCTCTGGCCCCTGCGTTACACACAAAGTACGGCTTTGAAACTGTGGGGCAGCCAAACAGGAAGATTGAAAAAAAAAATCAAGTAAGTGTCATTTTTAATTAATTTAAAACCAAATTAGAAAGGCCCGTATGGCAAGCAGGAGCGGAGCACTGTTGGTCAGGGCTCAGGTTTCCCTGTGGTTGGGAGAGCCAGTGACACACAACCTGGCTCTTGTCTATTAGTGTGTCTCGGCAGCTGTCGTGGGTTACCACTCCATGCAGACAGCTCAGGGAGCAGCAGTCCATATGTCACTGGACAGTGCCCCAGGGCTGTCTCCAGAGATTAACCAGATCCACAGATGCGGGTCAGTTTCCTTCTTTTAAGACCCCCCGGGTTAGCTCAGCAGCTTGGCTCACAGTTGGTAAGTCTGGATGCGACTAAGGAAGAGGTCCCCACGGGAGAAACATGAGCCCCCCGAGAGTCCTGGTCATCGGTACTGCGGAGTCACAGCAGGGTACAGGAAAAGCTGTACGTGCTAAAGCAGTAAGAGCCCAGAATGGAAACTGATTTTCAGTCTCACCGAGACTCCCTTCACACACCAGGGCTGCAGGGCGGGGGACGCTGTCTCACCGCTTTTTACTCAACGGCAAAGCCTGGCAATTCCAGTACAAACTAAGTCACTGAGATTTGGCTTAAGAACTACAAACATACAACACGTATTCTCGGGAGACTTTCTTCCTGTACACATACACGGGCCTTCTCTAAACCGGGCAGGAATTTTGCCTAAGAAGCAGATGGCTTCAAATCTCCACTTACTCTGTAAGGAGACTGGAGACCTTACATGGTTACAGATTATGAGCAGAAGAGTCAAGTGAGTGAGAATTGCCTACTCTTGGTCTCACACAGGTTACTGACTAGCTGTGCAAACAAGGCTAGTCCTCTCAGAACACACCGGGCTTCCAGACACTAAAGCTCTGATATTAAACAACCAAGGACAGCCGCCTAGGGCATGGCACCTCAGAAGACATCCAGGATCCTGGGCAGGCTACTGCAGGCAAGTCACATAGCACCCCAGAAGGCACCAAAGGGTCCATTTGCCAAAAGAGCTGAGCACTAGGGTCTAGCACCAGCAAAGGCTGAGCTGCTGCAGTGGCTCTGCCCTTAGCTTCTGTATCTAGGAAGCAGCCGGGCTATCACCAGCTACACTCAAGTAGAGATGAAGGCGGCTGAGAGATGGCTCAAAGGCTAAGAGCACCGGCTCATCTTCCAGAGAACTTGAGTTCGTTCCCAGCACCCGCACTGGGTGGCTCAGGGCAGTGGCTCTCAACCTTCTAACCGCTGTGACCCTTTAATATGGTTTGTCAAGTTGTGGTGACCCCCAACCATAAAACTATTTTGTTGCTACTTCATAACTATAATTTTTCTGCTGCTATGAACCATAATGTAAAATATCTGATATGCAGGAGATCTGATATATAACCCAACGGGGTCATAACCCACAAGTTGAGAGCCATTGTAGAGGATTTGATACCCTGTTCTGTCTTTGTGGGTGTCCTTTTGGGACCGTAATGGCCCAGGATGAATGGGGAAGGGTTAGGGAGAACTCATATAACCTCATAGAAGGATGACAGGCATTGGCTGCCCCCACTATCAGGGCAAGTAAGAATTTACTGCCCTCCCCGACGATTATCAGCCCCATTCGTTTGACTTTAAAAGGTTTTTTCTCCTCAGACCCTGTATCTCCTGAGTATGCAGATGAAGTGTCTTCCGACACCCCTGTCCTGGCCACTTGTACAGGGGCCACACAAACCTTGCCCTAAAGACCCTACCCACCTCCACAGGGGCATAAATACCTCCTTTTCTTTCCTGACAAACTGAGCTAGTTCTCTGAAGCTGTTCCTGGGTATGTGTTCTTTACACACGCACTTAACTGCCGACCAAGGCCCTGTACTGCACCCACCTGCCCTGGCTAAGCTTCCCTTCTTCTAGTCCAGCCAGTGTATAACGGGGTGCGGTGAGGGGTGGGGGTGCTGACCACCCCAGGGGCAGAAGCAGACACAGAGTGGCAGGTACCTGAACCTGTGTGCACAGAAGGGAAATGTGACATCTCCAACCCACGGACTAGGAAGAGTAAGGCTTTTTTTGTCCAGAGTCTTGAAGCTAATGGGTGGCCTCCTGACTTCCAATCAGATCTACTTCTGGACCAGGCTAGCTCTGATCTTACCCTTTCTAAAACTTTTCTGAAGAACCACTACTGTAAAATCTGGGCCTAGACTCAGGCGTAGCCAGAGGAGAGACACAGTCAACCTTTGCCATCCACAGACACATCTATCCCCTCCTGAGCAGTGCTGGGTAGCTCAGCCCATGAGTCAGACGGAGACAATGGCTCTAGACGGTGACCCCTAACACAATAATGTGTTCCCTGACATTCTTTTTAAATGATGTTTTAAAATCTCATGTGTATGAGTGCCGTGAATACATGCCTGCATGTATGTACATGTACCATGTGTGTGCCTGGTGCCGAGGAACCCAGAAGACTGTGTCATTGGATCCCCTGGCACTGAGCTCCAGAGGGTTACGAGCCTTCAGGTGGGTTCTGGGAACAGAACTTGTGTCCTCTGCAGAGCAGCCTCCTCTCCCAGGCGTTCACACCTGTGAGCCCGGAAGTGTGGCAGAACTCCCACTGTAAGGACACACATAGCCCTTTCAGTCCTGACTGCTTACGACGAAGTCCGTTTTACCACTGTGGGTGCGCCTCAGTGCAGGTGGAGGCTGAGGTGGTACATGTTCAGAGCACCCCTCTTTTTAGGGTACTGCAGAACAACAAGAAGCAACTCAACAGGTAAGCCAGCTGAGAGCGAGGAAGGAAGTGTGAAGACACATCCTAGGGACAAGCAGGCTGAGGGCCTGAGGTGAGCTCTTCAGTCAGAAGCGGCCAGTCCTATCAGACCTGGAGACTCCATCCTTCTCAACATCTTTGGCTGTGCTCCGAAGCCCAGAGGCCTCTCCTGCTGTACCCTAGCTCCCTTCTTCTCTGACACACGGATTAGGAATTAACCTTCCCACTGCTCCACACTGCCTGGGACTCCAGGTGCGCAATGCCAACGTAAGGCACCAGATGGACACCACTGACAGGGAGGGTGGGCTCAGTCAGACTGACTGAGGATGGACACCACTGACAGGGAGGGTGGGCTCAGTCAGACTGACTGAGTTCCTAAGCAGGGCTCTGCTGCTTTTTAGCTACGTGAGTTTAGACAAAGCAATTTTCTTGATCCCGAAGACTCTTCCTGGCTAGCACGGGATCACAGGACATGACCTCACAGGTTCTGGATGTTGGGTGAGTTATGCACACCACACTCAGACCGCTAGCTGTCGCTGTGGTTTAGCGCTGAAGAACTAGACACCATTTCAGCTGCTCAGAAGAGGCGAGACCTCCAATTTTACCATTTACCTGGCATGAACAAGCTGCTGAGAAGAAGGAATGTTTTTTTCCTCTGCAGCTGGTGGACACAGTCACCTTTCAGTTTCTTCCTGACAGAACATGAAGTCCTAGGCTCCAAGCTTCTCAGAAGTGCGTCATCTGCTAATATGGACTCAGATCAAAAGCCAACCTCAGTAAGGCACACTTAAGATCTGCTGATCTCCAAGCCGGCCTGCTTTAAAAGGAGTGGCCTGTTCAGAAGTGCCAAGACTTGTAGTTGACAGGGAGGAAGGCCTTCTACCTTTCTGGGGACAGTTTAACAGTGAAGTACCAAGAGCGCTGTAACAGGAAGTAGGTGAGAGGTGGGAAGTGAGGGTTCCAGCACCCTCCACCAGACAGCACAGAGCACCCACTACCCAGATGTCTGGGTCATCTTGCAGTTTTAAATCCAATTACCTGTTTGCTCCTTTTCTCTGGTCTCAGAGCTTAGGTGACGATGTAGAATCAGGAAGAGAGAAGACACAGCTGGGATTGCCTACTGTCATCTCCTGACCACTAGGGAAAAGTGTTTCAGATCAAGGTGGCCAGCACCTGTAGGAACAAAGTGCTCCAACAAGACAGGCTGGGAGAGACTCTGAACCAAAGGGGGCGACAGAGGATGCTACACCTCACGAGGAACAGAGGAGGAAAGCTTTTGTAAGGAAGGGGAATTCCTCGACAGTACTCACTCCTGAAGTATCCTTGGGAACTTGGGAAAGAAGGTTCTGCAAGTTCAGGATATGGTAAGATTCACAAGTTACTCCCCTTAAGGTTTATAGAAACGAGTAACGGCAGGTGGAAGGCAGGAGACTCTTTGGTGGAGCGGTCTGCTACCTGGAGAGGGCCGAGCGAAGTGTCTCTCATGAATCAACACCCATGTGTGAATCAATATGGAGGAAGCAGGATTACCGATGTCAAAGAGAAAACATTTTCTTAACCAATGGAAATTAGAGAACCCTTCCTCTCTGTTCTTCTTGAGTTCCTGCCTTGGGCTCTACATGTATTCATGTACATGCACATGTGCATGTAATTGCCTACATTCAAACACACACGGACACACATGAAAACTGGTGAGAAACCCCACACAGTTTCAGACAGTGATTCTGATGAGAATTCAGTAGTGCTGGAAATGAATCTTGAAATGAACGACGCGGCAGTGGAAATTCACAGAGGGCGGTGGACAGTTGCCGGAGAAACAGGCCACGCTTTCCAAGGTTCACCCAGACAGAAGAGCACATGGCCAGCCTTCCTCTCCAGGAGGGACAGCCACTTTCTCAAGCCACATGCTACACACACAGGCTCAGCTGCAGTCGGGCACCTACCTTGCTTGTCTGGTTTGGTTTGATCCCAGGCCCTCGGACCAGCAGTGGAACTTTGATATCAAACTCATACAGTTGCCGTTTGTCTATTGGCAAAGAGAACTGCCCTGAAACAAAACACAGAGTCAACACAGAGCCAGGGCAGACAGGCCTGCAGCACATAGCACACACACCACTGAGTTGTTGAAACACTAAGATATTGTCTTAATTGGTTTTTAGAATTTATTTTTTATTCATGTGTTTCTCTGTCTCTCTCTCTCTCTCTCTGTCTCGGTCTCTCTCTCTTTCTGTGTGTGTGTGTGTGTGTGTGTGTGTGTGTGAATGTATGGCATATGCGTGCATGCCCTAGGAGGTTTGGGAGGTGTCGGATCTCCCAGAGCTGGAGTTACAGGCAGCCTTGACCATCTCTAGGCCCTTAACTTAGTTTTATAACAGAGAGCTTACGCTTGCCTGGGTTTCTTTTCAACATAGAATGGGAAAAAAAACGAGTTTACCTTCTCTAGATAAATAACTAAAAAGAACCTGTTCTAAACAGGACAAATTAAGAAAAAAATAATGTCTGGGAAGGAATGAAAGACAAATCCACACTTATTTATGTGTACGTGGCCTGACCCCAGCAAATGAGGTCATTCCACACACTGCCAAATAATGGAGGAACATACCCTGTCCCCCTGAGACACTGCAGTGCAAGGCCACGAAACAAGGGAAGGCCCTCCTGAGGAATTCCGGCAGATGATAATAAGGACAGAGTGAGGGCATCAATCGTTGGCAAAGTTCACTCTGAGCAAGAGTTTTAGCTTGCAAAGGGAATCACAATGACAGGTTCATAGAAGGGGCCAGGTTAGACCCTGTGACCCACCCATCAACACTAGCACCCCAAGTGTGCCAGCCCGACACGGTGGGCCTCACAACTGGAGACGGTTGGTATAGCTCTGCATCACTGAGGCAGCCTCTGGCCTGAAGGTACACCCTACCACAAAGAGACAGGATCTACACTGACCAGACTGGCCTCAAACTCCCGGGCTCGAGCAATCCTTCTGCCTTAGCCTTCTCAGTAAGCAACACAACAACACACACCATCACTCCCAGCCACGCCGGCTTCCATGCTGCCTGATAAAAGATTCACGCACATAATATAACAGATGCTGTGTCAGTCTGTCCAAGTGAAAGCAAAGCTAGTGTTAAGAGGAAATGTGGATACACAGGAGACAGAGAACACGTCTATAGCTACAGGGGTCCAAGCTACAAGGCTGCAAGTCAAAGGGACAGAGCTCACTCACACTGCAGTTTTCTTTTTCTTTCTTTCTTTCTTTCTTTCTTTCTTTCTTTCTTTCTTTCTTTCTTTCTTTTTTTTTTTTTTGTTTTGTTTTCGAGACAGGGTTTCTCTGTGTAGCCCTGGCTATCCTAGAACTCCCTCTGTAGACCAGGCTGGCCTCAAACTCAGAAATCCGCCTGCCTCTGCCTCCCAAGTGCTGGGATTAAAGGCGTGAGCCACCACCGCCCTGCACTGCAGTTTTCAAATGCCAGGAGCACTGCCCAATCACAGGACGAATACTAAAACTGCGCTTGCAGGAAAACTTTGTTTCCATCTACAACACACTCCCTGAGTCCCACTAATCCTACAGACTCGAGATCTTCTCACTTTTCCCACACTGTCTCTAACTTGCAAATGATTCTGCACTCCTGCCTGAAACCAGCTAGCTTAGCATCTCAAACAGCAAATAAGGAACCCTGGCTTCTGCTGTGGAAATGCTTTCTACCCGAGGCCTAGGAGGAGTCCTAGGATGAGAGCCTCCGCCTGGCGGTTGCACAGCTGTAAAGTGCGAGATCCTACGGGTGAGGGCGGCGTGACAGTGCTCGCCCTGCCTGCTGCTCACCTGTATGGTAGCCGTTGTCTGAGGTGTAGAAGATGTACGTGTTGTCCAGCTCGCCGGTTGAGTCCAGTCTCTTCACCAGTTTCTCCACAAGGTCGTCAACTGAGAGCAGGGTCTGCCACCTGGAAGACACAGGGTGGAAGGCACGTCAGGGGCGATGGCCGCACAGAAACACTCATCCCAGTAGAGCAAACAGCTAAGGCTCAGCTCTGTCCCCCAGACTCCACCACTGCCAACCCCACAACACAGTAAGTACTTCATCAAGTCTGTTTCCAAAGACATAATCCAGGCTTTTCATAGTGAGCTGATTTTACTTCTTACAGCTTGCTGTATGAGAACAAAGCTAATCAGAAAGGAGAGGTGGTAATTCAGTATAGATTACTACAGACTGGTTCAAATACGTCTGTGGTGAAATACTGTTTAATAGTCCAAATGCTAGGCACTGGCCTATAGGCAAGAGGCCAAGGCGTGTCTTATCTATTGCCTGTTTCTATAAAGTTTTATTGGCACACAGGAGTATTTTCCTAGTGCCCAAGGCTGCCATTGTTTTGGGACACACGGCCTGCAGTCTTGGAACTTTTACTTTATTATTATCTCGTGCAACCAAAAAAAAAGAAAAAAATGTTTACTGACCTCTGGACCAAATGCAATACACTCTAAAGAAAGCAATCAACTTTTAGAAATCAACATATCACATCTTGCAAATTCCAAACATCAAATTTAAATATTTTGCTTAATATTTGGGCTGATTTTTATATAACCTTTTCTTTGAGGAAAACTTTTCTTTGTGGAAAACTTTCAAGCTAATAGTTCCAGTTTGTCATATTTTTTACCAGATCGTAGCATGGCTTAGTCATTCTTGGGGTCCAAAGGGTACCTCATGCACACGAACATGAACATAAGGGCTTGTCTCCATGCCTGTGGTGTGTCAGTGCCCCATAGCATCCCTCCCGCTGACCTGCCTCCCAGTTTGCTCAGGACAGAGCCTCCAACACTAAGAACAGAGCGGGGCTTACCTCCTCCTGAAGGCGTCATCTAAGAACTGTACTGACGAGTTCGTCATGGGAGTCTTGGCTTGTCTAATTAGCCAGTGCTTGTTCTACGATTCAGAAGAAACAGAAGTTAACACCGAGTCACCACGGCCACACAAAGAGAGTCCTAGAGCCCGTAAGACAAAGATTACTCACACTTCAGCCAACTGCCTAGAAGGTGCTGAAGGCACGTTAGACTCTGTCAGCTGCAGCAGACCAGGCTGCATTCCTGGGAGGCACTGGGACACCCTTGTTGGCAGCAGCGATCAGAGACTCTGCTGAGTGCCCCAAGCTAAAGTGAGGTTCAGGTGGTAGCTCTGACCCTATGTCACTATGGCTACAGGACGGCAAATGCTAACTTACCTGTCTCTACTCTGCCTGTAGGGGCTTGCTGTCCACTGGCCTGTCAACTCAGGAGACTGATATCCCTGGCGAAATCCTCTACTTGAATTAAAACTTCAAGCTCTGCAGATACTGGAATAGCAGAGCACGTGAGCTTGGTTCCCAGCATGCACACAGTTCACGCTGCCTGCAACTCTAGTTCTGGGGGAACTGGGCCCTCTTCTGGCCTCCTTGGGTACTGCACCCATGTAAACAAACTCATACCAAAGACAGACAGACAGACAGACAGACACATAAACATTTAAAAATAAAAATGAGGGGGCTGGTGAGATGGCTCAGTGGTTAAGAGCACTGGCTGCTCTTTCAGAGGTCCTGAGTTCAATTCCCAGCAACCACATGGTGGCTCACAACCATCTGTAATGGGATCCGATGTGTGTCTGAAGACAGTGTACTCATAAATAAAATGAATAAATAAATCTTTAAAAAAAAGTCAAAATGGTGTCTTTAAAAAATAAAAAAAAAAATGAAATCTTAAAAAAAATAACAAAAACCCTTTCAAGTCCAGTCCTGGAGGGCTATTTTATTTACATAAAAGCCACATTTTAGTAATAAAAGGACCCTCAGATGCCATGGGCTCTTCATGCATGCACAATAAAACCAGACTTCTCCAACAGTTCTTTGGTTAATAAGCTTTAGAAATTCGATCTTAAATTCTCCTGTTGGAGGCTCACATCAGCTTGCACAGGACAGGAATGTTCTGTTGTGGTCACTTAGCTAACCCAAGAATTTCAATATTACTGTTGTCAGTAATATTGAAATATTAAAATGCTTCTAGTAACTTTTTTTGGAATACAGACAAAGTGTGACCAGTCAACTAGTTTAAAATCATCTTCTCAACCTGATTTAACAAGCACATGCCTGAGTTGTGGTACAGAGTATTCCAGATGTTTTAATCAGTTATTTCTTTAATCATTTATTATTTTTTCATCATTAGCGTAATCAGAGGCTTGAGACCTGTCACCTTAGGGAGGCAACAGGAGGGGCAAGCATCTGGCTCACCTCACATACAGAAATTCTTGCTTCTGGGTCTGACTTTAAGACTCTGTCTCATTACGAGCACGGTGACTTCTAGGTAAGACTCAGGCAGTGGAGACCTGCTTATACGCTCAGCCAAGGGAAGCATAAGTCACTGACTGAGGAAAACTTTGAGGAGACAGACTCAGTGGCAGAGAGCTCTGATCCCAGCAATTAGGAGGCAAAGGCATAGTCACTGTGAGTTTGAGGCCAGCCTAGTCTACAGAGAGAGACAGTGTCTCACAAAAAAAACCTGAAGAACGTGGTTTGGGGGTGAACAGAAGGAGAGAATGGTGTGTGGGAATGTTTCCATTGCTGAAAATGTGACTTCTGTTTGAGGGAGAAAGAACCTTTATATATGGATTTCAAGTTTCAGGAAATTTTTGACAGGGTTTCTCCCAGGAATCTGGGGCACCCAGTACCTTGGGTAGGAAAATGGGGAAAGGGGAATGGCTTATTAGGTAAATTTAAGGGACAAGCGTTGTTAACTGATGAGGCCTCTGCCACCTCCACATTGCATGTGTTTCCTCTTTCCATCCTATTCCTTAAGCGAGAATCACCCAAGGCCGCTGCAAGTGCGAATGTCCCTAGAGACTTTGCTTAGCTACTTCCGGGACAGAAGAGGCAGGAGACATGATTACAATCAACCAGGAGTGGTGGGGCCTTTACCGTTCCCAGGACTCTCTCCTATCTGCTCACTGGATGTGTGGCAGGAACTTTATCTGTATCATTAAACACATTCCTATAATCTGTTGTACTAGGGACAGGTATAATGGTCCCTCCAGGAGAGCTCAAGGGAACCCTTCCAAGGCTTGAAGCTTCCTGACCAGCTAGTCACAGCCAGCATGGTTACTTCAAGGCTGACAAGCTAGTCACAGCCAGCATGGTTACTTCAAGGACCAGAGGCACCTACCGTCCCATGGATGTTGAAGTTCTTGCTTCTTGGTGCGAGGACATTCTGGAAAGCCTTCTGGTACTGGGGTGCGGCCGTCCACGGCGAGTGGGGCGCTGGAGTGGAGATCATCATGAAGAATGGCTCAGAGTTGGACTTGTAGTCCAGGAACTCCAGGGAGAGATTGGCCTGACACACACAGAGAGTTGTCACCTCCTGCCCCTGCCTAGCAACTGTGTATCCATAGGGAAGTTTCTCTTGGTAGACAGTCAGAGCACACAGGGTCAGTGTGGACACTACTCTCAGACATATTTCATTTCAGGGTCATGAGCAGCACGTTGCTGGTATAATACGTCTGGTCTGGACCGTGCCAAGGTCTGGACCTTGAGAAGTCTACCAAGGAAAGTAACTAAGACCTTAACCTTATAAGACCCAGAGACTATGTTCCCCAAACAGTCTAGCAGACTATCCATTTTAGTATTAATTTATAGTAATGATGCCAGTGGGAGAGTTTGGCAGGTAAAGGCTTCCCACCAAACTTAACAAGCTAGTCCCCTTCGCAAACCATCGGGGTAGCAGGAGAGAATCGAGCCACTGTCCTCATCCTCTCCCACTGACAGGCATGCGGCTGCCGCGGTCTCTCCCAGGCCCAGCCCTGCTCAGTCACGCCTCCTCCTCCTCATCCGGACACCACTCCCTGTCCTTCAGGTTTCTGCTGAGAAGCTACCTATAGCACTTCACCCTTTCTGATTTATCTCACCCATCAGTCCCTATTGAAGTAATACGTGATCAGCAACAGACGAGTGTGTGTACATAACCACGCCCCACGGCACTCGTGGGGTTTTCAGCTAGAAGAGGTTGTCTTCCAAGGGCCTGGCCTTTGGCCTCTGCAGGGAACTGCTGTGCCATGTAGTAGACTGTGTGGTGAATAAATACTCGGGGTGCAAAGTTTCCCTCAGAAACCTGTCAGGACAGGAGGAGTCCACCTGCATCTAGTGCTTTACACATGCACAGCCTTGCCCACAGAGACCGGTAAAGGACACCTGCGGAGAGTCTCTGTGGCCACCACAGTGCAGACAGAGGCGGTTACCTCTGGATTGTAAGAATATGAGACTCCAGTCTTGACTTATATGGAGAGAAAAACAGCCTACAGGTCTTTAATAAGCTGGAAATATTCTTTGGCAGACAGACCAGTCATTGTATATTTCTGTTTGCCGGTAAAATCAGACTTGGCTGCTGTCTAGACAAAGCAGTCATGTGAGGCAGGGCTGTTGAGCCCCAGAACTTACCAGAACATCTGTCAGGTAGTCCACGCTGTAGTTCTCACCGTGTTTCCGGGCCTTCCCGTTGATAGAGAGGGTGTAGTTATAGTATTTAGAATTCTTTTCCTATATGAAACAGGAAGTGAAATGTGTGAGGAAGTCACTATACAAAGCCAAACTGTGAGCTCCTGCTGGGCTAAGTGCACTGCTGGAAGTCACAAGAGGGGCTGCTGCCCAGGCCAACACTGAGCTGGGCTGAGGAGCATTATCATAGACTAGCAGGGTTTCGTTAATCTGTGCTGTTTTAAAAGCCAGACATGGTCCAGGGAACCACACGGCTCAGGCCACTAATGGCAGGACAACACCTGGACAGGTGACTCACCAGCCAACACTTTCATGACAGAGACGAATCATCTGCCAGGATGGGGCTGGGTCAGATGATACACGTTCACCTCAATAATCACTTACCAAGGCATACCAATAACTCCAGCCCAGAGGAATGTGCTCCAGTCCGCCTGCGTCTGGGGCTCCATACTGAAAGGACAGTAGAGCGGGGTGTTAGAGCTCCTCAGAGACCAGAGAGAACCAGGCAACTGAGAACACCTTTCAGCCAGTGCCTGAGACAACAGGTGCACAACTCCCCCAAACACACATACTGGTTAAAGAATAAAGAACTCCGTAATAGTAACTGTGTCACTGTGCTACCCTGGCCTGTCAGCTGTCTTGAATGGCCAGTGTGCCAGCCAATCATTTAAACGTACAAAGCTGTCAAGAGAAAACGTCTTGTGAAATGTGAGTTATGCAAACTTCAGATGTCAATGCAGATGGTTCTGTTTGCAGAGTCAGGCAAACTCACCGGTGCATGGAGTGTTCACAGCTGCACCTCTGCTATGGTGGCACTGTGCAGTGGCCCTGGGAGATGTGTGGCCTTAAACCCACCATCTGCCATCTGGCTATGACCTGGGACCTATCCATGGGTGTGTGCTGAGCTACGACTGAAGAATCTAAATGACACTTGGCTGTTTACAGACAAGAGAATCAGATGCTTACCTATTGCTTCAGCTGTCATGATAAAATCTACTTTTGAGGCTCAATTTATTTTGTAAAGTGATTAGAAGAGACGACAGTACACTCTCCCCTATCTAAACACAGTTTAGTATTGCCCATTTAAGGCAGAATGGAAACTCTAAAGATGGTCTCGAACTACACGGTTCCTCTCAAATGACCTTCGGTGTGCAAAGTCGCCCAAGTTCCCGTATGACCATCGAGTTTCCCCAGCCCCGCCACAGAGCGTCTTCCTGCTTCTCGTGACTCTTTCACACTCACTCATCTTCCCTCAAGCCCACGGTTTGCAGACCCTCTCAATGACAGGGAGGAAGGGGGACAGAGAGTTCATGTGACATAAAGACCTGTAGCTACCACAGGAAAAGAAAGTCAGAAAGCGCACACCTCTTCACCCGCGCCCCAGTTTAACTATCACTAGAGAGAACCCAACCACCCCCGGTGCACCATTTCCCTTAAGCATAGATTCTAAGAAAACTGAGACGAGGTGGTGCCCTTGGGGCCATGAAGCCCTGAGTGGCAGGCCACAGTGAGGCCACACGCACACAGGCCCACGAGGCCAGCGTCAGCCGCCCAGCCCACAGGGCGCTGTCTTCTCCTCACAGACTCTCCACAGGCTGCCCTCACTCTGCAGGACATAAATGAGTAGTACGCTGACTTGTTCCAATTCAGAGATGACTCTAAGAAACCCGAGCAGAGCCTCTAGCCCCCTCCCCCTTGATACTGAAAAAGAGGAAATGGAACACAGACGCTGTGACAGCCACATGACTACAAGAATCCCAGATGAAAACCGGGGAGGGGGACAGATGTCCTAGCACTTAGGACACTTTGTAAATAGATGCTGTGGAGGTTCTGTGGAAAGAAAGTAACCACAGAGCCAGGCACAGAATGTGCTTCTCTAACTAACGGGCAGATCAGCAAAAAGCTGCATAGAACCAAACGGTCGAAGAGCATGACTTAAACTGATACCAAGGAGAAAAATAATTATCAGCAAATAAATTAATTCCCATTTTAAATGCCGTCGTAAGAAAGGAGAAGATCACTCAACATACCTCATTTAAATACTTCCCAGCAAAAAAGGTTTGATAGCCGCACACCGACTTGAGGATCGCTGGGAAGGTGAATGGCTCCTGGATCTTCTGCCAGGACTTGCTACTGCAGTTCCCCTCCAAAGTGTTGTTAACGACATGATGGTTGTGGGGGTACTTTCCAGTCAGGATGCTGGCTCTGCTGGGGCAGCAGAGGGCACTGGGCACGTACTAGAGAGGGGATGGGAGCCAAAGGGTGAGATTCACCGAGAGGGAAGAGGAAGCTATTCCACGCTCCACTCTCATTCAGCCTCTCCCTGAGCAGAGGTCATTCCCTACACAAGACACACTCCAGAGCTGCTTAAAAGTCATTCGTCAGAGACAGCAGATGACAAATAAAGTCAGCAAGCTAACTGTTAATTGGGAAGAGGGGACCAGGAGGCGAGTGGACAGGAGGACGGGGAGCTGGGTGTAAATGCCATCATCAAACCCTTCATTTCTGGATGAGTCCATGAAATCGTCCAAGATCCATGACGGCACCACGGTCCCTTTACATACTTAATTTGGTTTTGTTGTTGTTTTTCTGCTTTTCAAGTTGGATTTAACCTTTTCTCCTGCGTCGGTCCCAGGACTTCAAAACCAGAACCTAGCAAATGCTAAGCATATGCTCTACCCCTGAGCTAAGCCTCCAGTCCGGACTGGCATTGTAAAATACTCACGAGGGTGACTGTCTCTACACAAATGCTCACTCCCCTACCTGCCCCCCTCCAATCATATGTTATTTGTCTTCTGTAATTCTTTCTAAGTTTTCGCTTTAAAATGTATTAGTTATATGTGCATATGTATGCATATGTGTCTTCATGAGTGTCTGTCATTTGTGTGGGGGTGCACACATGGAAGCCAGGAGAGGGTGACACCCTCACAGTGGGGCCATGGCCTGCTCATGGCTGATGGACCTACATTCCAGTCCTCAGGTTTGTTCAGCAGGCAGCTTTCACTGCAGAACCTCCTTCCCAGCCCTGACGTCTATACTTCTACATTGACTGATCTTAATGACGCAGCCTAGAGTCACCCAAAATGGGAGTTTCAGCTGAGGGACTGCCCAGGTCAGACTAACCCGTAGGCATATCTATGGGGGACTGCCTTGCTTGTTAACTGATACAGAAGAGCCCAGCCCATTGTGGTTGACAGTGTTTCCTGAGTGGTTGGTACAGGGTTGTATCAGAAAGCTAGATAAGCCATCATGGTGACACACACCATCAGTCCCAGCACTTGGGAGGCAGAGACAGTCACATCTCTGAGTTTGGAATCAGCCTGGTCTACAGAGTGAATTCCAGTGCAGCCAGGGATACACAGAGAAACCCTGTCTTGAAAAACCAACCAACCAAACAACAACAACAACAACAACAACAACCTTCAAGACAGTTAAGCATGGGCTCGCAGCTGAGCCAGCAAGGCCAACAAGCGGTCTTCCTCTGTGGTTTCTGCCTGAATTCTGGCCTTGATGTCCCTCAGTTATGAACTGTGACCTAATACAAGCTTTCTGCCCCAAGCTGTCTTTGGTCAGAGCATTTTACCACAGCAGAAAGGAAACTAGAACATTTCCCTTTTTGCTGTTTGACCTTTTATGGTCAGTATCACTTTATTACTGAAGTTTCATGTTTCATCTTAGTATCTGGCTAAAACATCATCTTATGGGTTTGATCTCCGGCACTGACAAAACCCACCCAACCTTGGGCCTGGGTGTCTAATCCACTGGCTGAGTGTGTGCACAGCATGGTGGGCTCTCTTGTGTCAACCCCCAACACCAAACAAGAAATACCATCTTGAATCTTGATTATTCTTACCCAGATAGTATTTAGAAACATTTAGTTGGATCTTGAAAAAAAGTCTTAAAATTATATTTTGTAATAGTCTTTACATAGAAGTGATGTGACTACCAACATATCAAGCATTTTTCAAAAAGTATTGTTCTCTGTATTATCTATCTATCTATCTATTTATCTATCTATCTATCATTCATCTATCTATCTATCTATCTATCTATCAATCTATCTATCACCTATCTGTTTTTTGAGATAGGATCTCACTATGTAGTTCTGGCTGTCCTGGAACTATGTAGCCCAGGCTAGCCTCACTCAAACTCACAAAGATCTGCCTGCCCCTGCTTCCTGAGTGTTGGGGTTAAAGGCCTGCAGCACTAGGCCTGGCTTACTTGAAGAAATCATAACCATTTTTGGCTACTGCCTGTTATTTTCTGCTGCTAAATGGAACTTTCTTTGTGTTCTTTGATTATTTTTTGTTGTTCTTTTTCTTTTTTTTTTTCTTTTAAAAAGTCTCACTATGTAACCCTGGGCTGGCCTGGAACTTGACCCACAGAGATCTGCCAGCCTCTGCCTCCTGAGGGCTGGAATTTGAGCACAGGCCACCGCACTGGGTTCAATTTTAAGTTGTTATGTGGACTGAGTTTTCCAGGTTAAAACGAACTCTTCCTCCCTTCAGTTACTCCTTCTGTGGACAACACCTAATACCATGTAGGACTTGCTGTGACCACACCGAAACATCCACCGTGTGCCGATTCATGGAACCACAATGACCCTGAGGTGGATGGTACTGACTTCATTTAAAGTGGGAAAACCAAAATCCAAATCAGAGCTAGGAACATGCAAATAAAGAGATAAAAGTGTATTCTAAATTAGGCAGTCTGGCTGCGGAGTCCATACTTAAACCGAGCGTAGCACTGTGCTACCGTTCAGTGGGTTTCCCGGTGTGCAGCCACCACACCAGCGCTGACAGAGTTTCGTGTAAGGTTCTTGAATACCAACAGTCGGATTTGTTTTGGGTCTCTAATTCCATACAGGCTGCGTGTGTGTTTCATGACCTTCGTCAGGGTTAGCTAGCAGACCTCATGAAAGTTTTACTCTGTAGCAGCCTACATAGCATAAATGTTCTTGGTTTGTACAAACTAGTTTCAACCCTCATACAGTAAGGATTTCAGTAAAATTCCCTAGTTATGTAGCAGTCTAGCTTAGAAAATACTGGCGATTAGTCAGGTGTATTGGCACATGCCTTTAACCCCAGCATTTGGCAGAGGCAGGCATATCTCTGTGAGTTCATGATTAGTCTGGTCTATAGAGTGAGTTCTAGGACAGCCAGAGCTACATAGTGAGACCCTGTCTCAAAACAAACAAATAAGAACCCCTCCCCCAACAAAGACCAGCAATTTATCATTTCAATTAAAAATAAAACTCTTCAGACCAGGTACTTCAATAAAAAAAAAAAAAAAAAAGGCAAAAGTCCACCCACATATACCACACTAGAACTCAAACATGAAGTTTCTTCCTGAGATGTGATATGGTATCTAATGACATCACATTGGCTTTTAAACTTACAGCGCTGGAGAAAGTCATCCCCTTCTCTCCAATGAGGGCCTTGGTTTTCTTCAGTGGTGTCTACAAAATAAACAATTCCTTGTTAAACAATGTCTGATAAAATAGAGAAATAAAAATTCGTGTTTTGTTACAACTTAAATTTATATTTTATTTTGTATGGATGGATGATTTGCCTGCATGTGTATGTCTGTGCACCATGTGCTTGCATGCAGTGCCTGCAGAGGCCTGAAGAGGGCGCTAGATCCTCTGGAAATGGACATAGAGACATACAGACTGCTAGTGGGTGTGTGAGTCTGGGAAATCTGGGTCTTCTGCAAGAATGCGTACTCTTAACCTTTCAGTCATCTCTCCAGCACCTTTTGTTTTATCTTTTATTTCCAAATGGTCAGCTCTGACACCAAGTCAAGAGAAGTGATTCTGGAGATGAACCAAACAGGTTTGGTTACAGTCAGGTAAACCCTGTGCAAGCAGGAAGTGAAAGTTCATAGCTGATAGCATTGTTCTGTCTGTGGGAACTGCAGGTAATGAATGTTCTCTTATTTCCCAATAACCCCAAGGCGGACTCATCAACAAGGAAACGTCCCATCATTAACAGGGACTAAGGCAACACTTGGATTCTGAAAGCCAGACAAGGTTACAAGGCTCACATTACAGCTAGCTTCCAACCTTATACATTCAATGATGTAAGCCCAACTGACTATCCCCCTGCAGTAGCACCTGAACCAGATGATAGCATGTGTACAGAGGTGCACACAGACCCTGCCAAACATAAATGTAATTATCACAGGGCTGGGGATTGAACCCGGGGCTTCGAGTACCCTGGCAAGCACTCTCCCACTGAGCTACATACATCTCCAGGCCTATATTAGTGTGTTCCATCTGCACTTTTCATCTTTTGTGTGTCCCCTAAGATTTGAAAAAGAACGAGGACAGCTAACTTTACCCTTGAAGGCAGAGGAGCGAAGGCAGTCATGTAACCATCCACCAAAGGCACAGCGATCTGCCTTTACTTCCTGCCCAGCGAAAACTACCATGGGTGAAGCTCGTGAGGCGGTCTGTGAGGATTCTGAAATACCTTTCAGACCCGAGAACAGACTGCATATAGTCTTACATCCACCTGGTACAGTAATTCCTTAAAGACTGCACCTCCAGATATATACCGAGGATCACCAAGGTCTCACTTTCAACAATATGTAAGTAGCTTCTTTCGTTGATTTATAAGCCCAAGCTACTTAGAAGGACAACATTCCAACTTGTTCTAGTCATGCTTTGATGGTGACAGTAGTAGACCCTCAAGAGATGCCATGAAAAGTCTGTGCTAAGCTTCAGAAGCAATGGCACTAGCTGTCCTTAACTTATCACTGGTGCCAAGCTCAGGAAATAGCAGTGCACTGAATGTAACCCCGGCTGAGCCAGGAACCTAAGTTACCGTGAGGGCAATGGACAGGGACTACCCATGTGACGTGCACCTAGGATAGGGGTTCTCAACCTGTGGATTGCGACCCTTCGGGGAGTCACACATCAGATATCCTGTATAACAGACAGTTACATTATGATTCATAAAGGTAGCAAAATCACAGTTAAGAAGTAGCAACAAAAATAATTTTTCAGTTGGGGGTCACCACGACCTGAGGTCTTAAAGGTTACAGCGTTAGGAAGATTGAGAACCAGTGGTGTAGAGAAAGAATGGGAACCAAGAGGGGATTTAGTCATCGAATTGATAAGCACGCAAAACTACTGACAGTGTTAGGTTTACAGGGAGTCTATATGGTGTATCGTGCTAATCTCAGCAAACACTGAGGTAAGCGAAGGTGGGTAGGAAACACGGTCTTGCCCTTACCACTGCTTAAGGACCTGAACAAGGTAACCAATGACCTCACGTGACCAATGGCCTCAGGTAGTACAAGTGAGAGAGAGTACAACAGACCATGTGACACACCTTGTGGGAAGAAAGCAGGAGCCTACTTCAGATGAGCAACCAGAAAGGTCCTTAAAGCAGTGAACCTTGCTGAGAGCCCCAGAGCGAGGGCTAAGACCATGAGGAACCAGGAGCGGAGCTCACTGGCTGAGTCTGGCAAGTAGCCCAACAGAGCAAACAGGGAGGAGCCACTGTGGAAGGAACAGCCGAAGAGACAGGAAGGGAAGAGTGGAAGACAAGGCTGCGTAGGCATTTTGATTTAGAACTTACATGTAGATAATCTACACCTGGTTGAACAAGTCCCAAGCAAGAGATGGCACTACACTGAAAACAGATATCCATGCTAATCTGAAGTGGCGGTGGCCGGTCAGGTGGAAACCATGTGACGGATTAAGAAACAGCCACTTTTACTCTCATGAGCCAATGTGTAACTTTACTTACCCTAACCCTAAGCAAATTCCCTTTTATAAAAACCAAAGGATTCACCGACTTTCCTGATCCCAAGTGTTCGCACCCCGAAGCTTTCGATGACTTCCCTAACTCGGCGCTGACTTTCCCTTTAACAACGGAAATCATCTTGCCTTAGGCAAAGCAGTGCCATATTTATTCTTTCTCTATATTCCTGCACTGCCCTGACTAAGTGCCCCCTTTTCCTAGAGTAAACAAATGACTTAAAAAACAACCTGTGCTTTTGTGAGGCAATAATCCATCATTCCATCGTGAAGAGGGAAAAGCCATACCCTGTAAAAACTAACAGAAGCAGTCTCTCAGATGACACATGGGACAAATCTGGTGGAATGCTGAACATGAAAGATGAGGTTACTACACATAGTATAGAGTAATGGTAACTGACAGGGGCTGGAGAGATGGCTCCGTAGAAAAGAGCACTGGCTGCTCTTCCAAGGGACCCAGGTTTGAGTCCCAGCACCCACATGACAGCTCACAGCCATCTCTTCTTCTAGCTCATCTGATGCACTCCTGTGGCCTTCACCGGCAGCAACACATGGCCGTACGCACTTTCAGGGAGGCAAAACTCCCATATACATTTTTTTTTAAAATGTGGTACATGCCTGTAGTCTCAGCTCTTGTGAGGTAGAAGCAGAAGGAACAGGAATTCAAGTACATCCTCAGCTACATGGATAACTTGGGTAACCCTGGACTATGCTGGATAGTTTTGTGTCAACTCAACACAACTCAGCATCTGACAGGAGAGAGCTTCAGTTGATAAAATGTCTCCATAAGACTGAGCTGTAAGCAAGCCTGTATGTAGAACATTTTATTAATTAGTGATTATTGGAGGAGGGCCCTGCCCATTGTGGGAGGAGTCAGCCAGTAAGCAGCATCCCTCCATGGCCGCTGCATCAACTCCTGCCTCCAGGTTCCTGCACTGTTTGAGTTCCTGCCTTGGCTTCCCTGGATCGGTTGTGACTATGGGCATGTAACCCGGATAAACCCTTAGCTCCCCCAGTTGCCTTTCGCCATGGTGTTTCATTAAAGCAATAGTATCTCTAACTAGGACATGGACTATCTTGAAAAAAGGAAAAAAGCTGGGCGGTGGTGGCGCATGCCTTTAATCCCAGCACTTGGGAGGCAGAGGCAGGCGGATTTCTGAGTTCGATGCCAGCCTGGTCTATAGAGTGAGTTCCAGGACAGCCAGGGCTACACAGAGAAACCCTGTCTCGAAAAACAAACAAACAAACAAACAAACAAACAAAAAGTCACATTAAATGAAAATCATGGGATATCAACTTTTGATCTGAGCCAGCGTGGGTGCGTTGTCTATGGGGTCCTCACTCCTTACCTTGACTATTATTGTGGCAATCTGAAACACAACCCCTCTCTCTGGTAGAGATACTATACATAAGGCTTTATTCATAAATGAAGCCCTGTGGGTGAACCCCACTGACAACATTCCAGAATGCCACTGAAGACTCAGTGCAAAGCGCCTATGTGGCTTTGAGTATTCCAGACTATGTGTGGCAAGACGGGCTTACCACAGTGGTTTCACAAAGCAAATAAACCTGCTGCCCCTCAGCTATACGAACTGTGGTCCTTTTGAGTCTTAGCATTCTTGCCGATACGATCTGCAGCAGGTGGCCTCCACGATGTTAGAAATACAGACAAAACACACCTCACACTCTGCCTGGCACCAAGGAAGTTCTCAAACATCATCCCTGTCTCAGCCCTTCACTTTGTTATCTGTACTGGCTGGTTTCGTGTGTCAACTTGACACAAGCTGGAGTTATCACAGTAAAAGGAGCTTCTGTTGAGGAAATGCCTCCATGAGATCCAGCTGTAAGGCATTTTCTCAATTAGTGATCAAGGGTGGGAGGACTCATTGTTGGTGGGGCCATCCCTGGCCTGGTAGTCCTGGGTTCTATAAGAAAGCAAGCTGAGCAAGCCAGGGGAAGTAAGCTAGTAAGTAACACCCCTCCATGGCCTCTGCATCAGCTCCTGCTTCCTGACCTGCTTGAATTCCAGTCCTGACTTCCTTTGGTGATGAACAGCAATGTGGAAGTGTAAGCTGAGTAAACCCTTTCCTCCCCAACTTGTTCTTGGTCATGATGTTTTGTGCAGGAACACAAACCCTGACTAAGACATTATCCTATTTGACAAATCAGTGTCAGGGCTCCAAAAGGGGCCACAAGAAAAGTAGGAATTCCCTGAAGTGCCAGGGGCTGCAGCTTTAAACCAAGCAAACACCATTTTCTTATTTATTTAGCGTCCACGGCACTTGTGAGATCCAGGGAACCACAACGAACTCGGGTTGTTGACAGAACATGTGTGGGAAGCTACAGGCTTCATTTCTTCTAGTTTCTCTGGCTACTACAAATACTTAAAAAAAAGAAAAAAAGAACCCAGGGCCATCAAGATGACTCATGGGATACAAGCAAACCACTGCCAAGCCTGAGCAGTTCTGTTCCCAGGACCCTCCTGGCCACTGGGACATGTGCACATACGCTCCCCCTAAACACACATCCTTCTGGTATAAAGAAGCAAATAGAAAAAAAAGAGAGTTCTAGAGGCAAATACCATCAACACAAAAGTGTAAGACTTCGGTCGACTATACAGTGACTTCGCTGCTAAGTGACAGTCACTGAGCTGGGACACCTTATATGTAAGTAGTGAATTTTGTTTCCAACAGCGGCATTAAGGCTGACCTGATGAGATGAGTATGTTAGTCACTGGGAGAGGCGCATTTTTTTTTTCTGAATACTTTTTTTTTTTTTGGTAAAGTTTTGAAATCCCAGCACTGGTGAGATAGAAGATGGATCTCTGTGAGTTCAAGGCTAGCCACGGCCATACAGTGAGACCCTGTCTCAAAATGAAACCGAGCAGACGAAATAAAGGGAAGAGAAAAAGGGAAGAAAGAGAAGAGAGCTATGGGAACAGTTGGAGGGACAGTAAAACCTAACAGGGAAATTGTCAAGACTTTCGGTACAGGGGGTGGCGGCTAACTCTGAGAGAGAACTGGCTCAGCAGGCGTGAGGCTTTGGAGTGCCCTCCAGCACTGCGGGGCGGGGGTTGGGAGGGGGTGGAGATTCAGCATCCTTATGATTCAGGGGATGCCACACAGCAACAAGGCAATCCGGCCTCTGCGGATACAGAGAGGGGCCAAGGGACTGGTACTGCAACACCTAAGCACCATCTAGAAAAAGACAGTCCACGGAAGAACGCAAAGCACACTTTACTTCCCAGCCTAGAAACATACGTGCTCTGCTCAGCATTATCACATGTGACACACAGAAAACCGAAATGTTGGCAGCTACTCACTAGACTGATTTCACAACTCGCTGACCAGCTGGGACCAACAACTTGAAGGACATTGAGCCAGGGTTAATTACCACGCTGGAAAAGCAAGGACCCTCCTGCTTAGAGCCCTTACAGCAATCAGCTGTAAGCAGAAGGAGAACCGAAAGAGAGAGTAGAGACTTTGGTTTTTTTTAGTGAGAGCAGTGCTGACCCGGGAAGAAATACCATCGGAGGGTTGGTCCTAATCTGCCTCCTCCTGCTTCAGTGCTTTGGGCAAATCCCTTGAGCACCACTGAAAGGAGGCTGGCGTGCATGTTCCCAAAGGTCAAATTCCGGAACCTCGAAAGAGCAGAAGTGACTCTGGGAAGGAAATGTAATCTTTCTTCATGACAACATCCATTAGACATAAAGTGAAGAAGCCCTGACGGCAACGCCTCAGCTAGGTGTTCGATTAGGCTAATTGATTTTGTTTCTGATGCGAAACACACTTTCTCTCAATAACAGCTCTGACAGCCTACAACCCACTTTCACGGGCATCAGAGAAGCACAGATGCCGACGTCCCAGGTCCTCCGTGAAGAGGGCTGACGTGGCCTCGGATCTCCCTAATCAATCACTGGCCTCCACAGGTTTGCCCTGAGCGGTGAGTGTAACACTGCAGCAGTGAGGTCCCGGCTGGAGGCACCGTGCGCACGGCGCGAGCCTGTGGGTGAGCTCGGGAGAGGAAGCCGAATCCTAGGACCCGTCCAAGCTCACCCACCCACGGACAAGTCTCCCGGCAAAGGGATCAGCAGAGGGGGACGGGGAGGGCGTGGACAGGAGTTACCATGCCGCCGAGCTCCGAGTCCTGGTCGTCGGTGAGCAGCAGCAGCACGTTGGGCCTGCGAGCCGCCCCGACGAGCCCCAGGCAGCTACCCAGCAGCGGCAGCAGCAGCAGCGAAGGCAGGCGGCGGGGACCGCCCGGCCGGGGCCCGGCTACCGACGGGAGCCGCATGGCCGCCACGCTCCGCCGGGGGAACCGAGAGCTGCGGAGAGACGCCGCGGGTGAGCGCAGGAGACCCGGGTCGGGCTTTCTCTCCCTAGGCGAGGTCACGTGAGCCGGGGCAGGGGGCGGGGCGCGCCGTCACGTGACGGGCGGCCGTGGGCGGGGCCTGGGCAGCGGCGGAGAGCCCCGGCGCTGGGCGGCTGGACAGAGCTAGGACCGCGCGGAGCCTGGCCGCGCGGCTGGTTAGGCCTGCTCCTGATGCTGGAGCAAGCTCGACAGCGGACTGGAGATGAAGACGGGAGGCAGTGCGCTCGTCTTTCCTCCAGAGAGGAGCAACCCACGTGCTGTGTACATAAGATCAGCTGCTGGTTAAAGTCCCGGCCGCTCCTGGGGTTAATGGACAGCTCTGCCCAGCGTCCTTTGACCTTTCACCTTTTGAGATGAGGTTCACATCTGGCCGAACTGCTGTTATTCTACTTTCCTCGGCTAGCCTGTAGTTTCAAACAATTTAGAAACGTCTTAACTTTACGCTAGGAGCTCTTGATCAACATTTCCAAGTTTCAATCACTTTAATTTACATTTATTTTGTGTGTTTTGCACGCTCATGGACATTCAGAGAGCATCTTGCTCTTCAGTTCTTTCTTTCTATGGAGTGAGTCCAGGGATTCTAACTCGGGCCCTCAGGCTTGACCGCAGGTGCCTTGGCATGCCGAGCCATCTTGGCCCGTCCTCCTTAGTGAGTTTTTGCAAGCCTTCTTGGAAGCTGTTAGAATGTACACGACCAATAGCAACAAATCCTTTGTTGAGTAAAGCCTCAACTAAGTATTTTATGTTGGCTAAAAAGTTAAACTGCTGTTAGGGATTCCTGTGAGGTCCGTGCACGATATACCAAGTGAGTACTATTCTGTGTAGAACAGAATAATGTAGAGTCATTTGCCACTTGGTTATGTGTTGGATTTACACCTTTGTGATTTTTTAAAAACGATTTATGTGTATGAGTGTTTGACTGCATGTATGTAGGTCACTATGCCTGTCTAGTTTCTGGGGAAGTCAAAGAGAGCATCTGACCCTTGAGACTGGAGTTACTGATGTTTGAGAGGAAACCACGTGGGTTGCTCGGAGTTGACATGGGCCCTCTGTAAGAGTAACATGTGCTCTTAACCACTGAGCCATCTGTCAGACATCTGGGAACAATATCTTTTAAATGTATTTTTCTTATTTTGCATCTAAAATAAAGCAGATATTTTACAACAATATACAATATTGTACAATTAATATAACATACAATAAAAATGTATAGGATCTCTGTGACCTATGAGACTCAACAATATAGTCCACCACTCACAGAACTGGGGTTAGGGAAAGAGTAATTTTTTAAAGAAATAATAGCTTCAAAATGTCTAAGAAAATAAGAAAATAAGATCTGAGAAACTCAACCTCATGTGGGAATATCAGAGACAGTTTTCCCCAGCCATGATGGCAAATACCTGTAATTCCAGCTCTTGGGAAGCTAGGGGAAGAGGATTACACAATTGAGGCTAACCTGGGCTAAGGCATAAGAACCTTTTTTTTTTTTTTAAGAGTCTCACAAAAACTTACAGTTAACCACTTACTTCACTGTAAAAGGCTAAATAAATGTTAGCTTTCTAGGCTGGTAACAAGAATGTTCACTCTTAATATGCTATATTCAGAATTATGGTATTGGTATTGGTTGTAGTTGTGCAGAGGGAAGAAAAACCTTCAAGCAGATCCTCAGATGGCCATAAGGATGTAATTCAATGGGGGGGTGTGCTTACTTAGCATGGCAGGCGCTCTATGTTCAATTCCAAGGATTGTATAAATCAAACCTGGGGGCACTACATGCAATCCAGCTGTAATCTCAGCACTTGGAGGTGGAGGTAGGAGTCCCTGAAGTGTAAGGCCATTTTCAGCTATGGAGCTAGTTTTAAGCCAGGTTGGTAAATGAATTAACTAATTATTTAAGGACCCATAAATAAATAGATGCATCATAGTTAAAAAATAATACATTGAAAGACAAAAGGAGGAAAGCAGCAAGAGGAACATGCTTACCTATTACAGAGGACTCCAAGAAAACCAGCTGATGTCTCTAATGCAGAGCCCCTCAGCCGCTGCAATGCCCAACCCCCTGCTTTAGCAATGCGGCTGGCTTTGAGCACTCTCATCAGTTGCAGAGTTAGCAGTGCTGAAAACTACTCTATGGGTCTAGTGCTGCCCAGATGTGACCCCTGGGGAGTCTGTTCCTTTTCCAGCAACCTCCCTCCCACACTATCTATGAGGTTCAGTCAGATTACCCATACATACTTCCAGTGATACAGACTCAAAAATGTAAAGTATTTCTTTCAATACGGTTAGCTCAGAAGCTAGATGTCGGGCTGGAGAGGCGGAAGCTCAGTGGTTCAGTACTTACTGCTCTTGCAGAGGACTGTCCACAAGCTGCCTCTAACTCCAGTTCCAGGGATTCTGGCATGGCCTTCTGGCCTCTTCAGGTACCCATGTACATGTGTGCACACTCACACAGAGATGCATATATATAAATACTCATGTTTAAAGGTAAATAACAAATCAATAAAGCAAGGAATAGGAAAAATATCAGGCAAAAGTAAAAGGATCAAAAGCTATTTCTTTGGGTACAAACGAAACAGGCAAGCTGTTGCATGCCCCAAACATCCCTGCTCAAGGAGGCAAGCTGGGCCCAGCAGAAAGGACCACGGATGTGATTGATATCTCTCATGATCTCAGTCAACAGGTGATTGTGGGAGCTGTGTTCCATGGAGTATCTCTGCGAGGGGAAGTAAAGACATCCTCAGCTTATTACGAGGGTGTTGATTAGGCAAGTCAATTCTTATCTAACTCGATCCTGAAAGGGATTCCAAAACCGGTTTCTGTTGGTGAGGATTTCACAGCAAAAGTGATTTATAGGTTGGTTTCAAGGTGATGCAAACGATCCGGTGTGTAACAGCGTGCCACTGTGTGTCACAATACAGTTCAACCAGACGTGAGCTTTCATGCATCCTGCACGAAATTTACCTACCAATTATCCTGATGACGTTGTGCTGGTCATTCGTGCTAAGCAAGAAAGACTAGCGTGATGGTTTTATGCTCCAGGAGGTGGGAAGTGGACCCTATAAACTATAGAGATGAACACATCACCAAGGTTGTTAGAAGTCCCAAAGTATTCCAGGATCCACCTTCAGATGAAAACCGAATGGCTGCATCTTATGTTCCTTACCGTGGAGGCTCACACTGCCTGGTAGAAACTTTAAATCATAGCCTTAAGCCAGGAGGCAGCTGTGGTGGTGCATACCTTTAAACCCAGCATTCCAGAGACAGATAGATCTACAGTGTGAGTTCCAGGATAGCCAGGACTACACAGAGAAACCCTGTCTCAAAAAACCAAACAACTAAATGATAATTAAATCACAGCCTCAAAATATTCTACACCTAAGACTATGGTGGTAGCCACGTACTGAATGCCAGGAAGTGCTGTCAGCTCTGAGTGAGGGCTGGCTGACAGCTCCAGCACTGCCACGGTACCCTGAACTCTAGGGCATAGGCCTGGGGAATTAAAGGAAGACACAGACTCTGGTCATTCGTTAGGAGAGAATGCCAAAGCTTTTACTGAGCAGGTTCAATATATACTCCAAGCCAGGGAAGGAAAAACACAAACAGGAACTCAACTGGGGGGCAATGGGCTTCCAAGTGTAAATTCCCTTCCTGAGGTACCATGCCTACATCAGGATGTTTTGATCTTAGAAAAACAGCAGAATGTTAGTTGTCAGACAGCAGCACATGGAAAGTCTCAGCCAGGGCATGGCAGCCCTTTGGGGTCCTACAGCTGGCTAGGGGAGAAAAGCGCATGGTACCAGGCAAGGCTGGCTACATAATCTGTAGGCCAATGTGAAGCAAAACGTAGGGCCTGTTCTGCAAAATATCAGCAGGAAAATGCTAACTGTGCTAAGACATAAATCTAATCTAGGGCTCTTGGGGTTGAGGCAGGACTGCAGTGCAGCCTGAAATCCTGTTGCAAAAAAGAAAAATAAACTTCATAAAGATTTTTATGCTTTTTAAAGATTTATTTCTATATTATTTTATATATCTGAGTGTTCTATCTGTATATAGATGCCTGCATGCCAGACAAGGCATCAGATCCCATTACAGATGGTTGTGAGCCAACATGTAGTTGCTGGGAATTGAACTCAGGAGCTCTGAAAGAACAGTCAGTCCTCTTAACTCTGAGCCACCTCTCTGGCCTAAAGCTTTTATTCTAAAAATATCTTATTGCTCACGAAATGTAACATGGTTGGAGACATGGCTTAGCATTTAAGAGCTGCTACTGCTTTTTTACAGAGTTGGTTCCTAGCACCTCATAGTGTGGCTTACAATAACCAGTGACTCCAGCTGCAGTGGATCCAGTGCCTCTGGCCTGCGTGGGCACCTGCACTCATGTGCACACACTTATCTTCATATATTTTTTAGAAAATAAATCTTTAATCCCAGCACTTGGGAGGCAGAGGCAGGCGGATTTCTGAGTTCGAGGCCAGCCTGGTCTACAGAGTGAGTTCCAGGACAGCCGGGCTATACAGAGAAACCCTGTCTCAAAAAACCAAAAAAAAAAAAAAAAAAAAAAAAGAAAAAAAAAAAGAAAGAAACTGGCATGAGAACCTACCTTAAGGATATCAGTGTTTTATTCTGGGGGGAAAAAGGAATTTCAACAATGACTGGATATAGAGCTGACAGCTCCCTCTCTTGACTTTACTTCCTTCCTACCCTGAGTAGATCCTAGAGCCAAAGGTGCAGAGATGGAAGTAAAAGATTCTACATGGGAGAGGGATGCATGGTGAGTCTTAAGTGTCGAAGACAACTCAGAAGGGGGAGGCAAGAGGAGAAGCGAAATGTCAGTGAGATATCAAAATACATTTGTATACCGTCACCTGGGTTCGATTCCCAGCACCCACATAGAGGTTCACACTTTCTGTAACTCCACTTCTAGGGTTCCAGTGCCCTCTTACAGCCTTGACAAGCACTGGGTACAGAACATGGTGAGTATACATACATGCAGCAAATCTGAGTTTAGCCTGGTCTACAT